AAGAGTTCGAAACCAGCCTGAGCAAGAATGAGACCCCATCTCTACTAAAATAGAAACAAATTAATTGGCCAACTAAAAATATATGGGAAAAATTAGCCGGGCATGGTGGTGCATGCCTGTAGTTCCAGCTACTCGGGAAGCTGAGGCAGGAGAATCGCTTGAGCCCAGGAGTTTGAGGTTGCTGTGAGCTAGGCTGATGCCACAGCATTCTGGCCCAGGCAACAGAGTGAGACTCTGTCAAAATAAATAAATAAATAAATAAATGAAAAAAAAAAAGAAATTAGGGAACTTGACCAATGTCATATAGCTATTGAGTGACAGGTCTAGGACATCCGAGACTATGTGCCCACAGTTCCGCGTTTTCTTCCTGAGTACGAACAGTTCTGTTCCAATTATGTCCTCTGGGAGTTCTAGTTTCCTAGTGGCACCATGGCTCATGAGTGCTTTTGTTACAAATCCTACTAGTAGTTAATAGCAGCAGTGTTAACAGCCTTTCTGGTGGTAAGAACTGTCTCACCAGTTTTTATTTTTCAGGCTGGACACTGAGTATAGGAGATTCAAATATGCATGTTTTCCATTTCCCTGTTGGTAAAATGAGATTGCTAATACAATCTTGCTTTCTGAAGCTGCGTCTGTGGGAAGTGGGTAACATTCAGGATATTTGTGCAATGTCAACAGGAAAACAGTTTTCTCATACTCAAAATCAAGGAGTTTCTGATCTAGTCCAGAAGCGAAGACTGGTCCATAGAAAGAAGCAGTGACTCTGGAAGGCAGAATTGGTTTGTGAGCTAGAAGGATAAGCTCCGTGAAGTTCCTGGAGGGGGTAGATCAGCGAGAGGTAGGGGTGACCAGGGAAGGCTTCCTGCAGGAGATGGGACATGTGTCAACCTCGAGGTCGAATGGGACAGATCTGATAAATGGGGTCCCCGTGCCAAGTGAAGGAAATAAGAAGAGTGAGGGCAGAGATGTGGAATACGAAAAGCATCTTCATGAAGAGAGGATTAAACCGGGATGGACGGGGATGTGGAATGGAAGGGATAAGGCCGGATGATACAGTTCCTGGTAACCTGCAAAGAGGATCATAAAGAGAGAGCCACCATAGGAATGGGGAGCCACAGAGAGATTTTAAGCAAAGAGGTGAGACATGAATGTAGTTGTCTACAGGGCATACAGGACAAATTGGAGGACACACAGACTAGAATCATGGGAAGCAGCCATTACATATACATTGCAGGATACAGGTAAAAGACATCAAGGGTCTGAATCGAGTGTCCCAGTGCAAATGAATGGAAAGGGAGTTACAGGTACGGTAGACATTTCAAGGGACATATTGAATACATGCCACATGCTCATGTTTCTTTAAAGTAACCTCTGTTCATTTCTCCAAGTGATGAAACACCACATGGTTTTACTTATGGAATACTGAGTTTTACAAATGTCTATATATCAATATTTATATGTTTCTCATGATTTACTTGTTTTTCCAAATGTCTAATTGCTTTAGGTGAAGTTTAAAATTTTGGTTGCGTTTTGCAGAGTAGAACTATCATAATAGTTTATAGTTTTCAAATGACCTCTCAAATATTTTTGAAATCTTTCAATGCTCTGAATTTCTCAACAAGTGGTATATTAATCAGGCTCTTGCTCCTTCAGGCTATAAGAAAGAGACACACTCAGCTTATGCTAAGTGATAGAGGTTGACTGCTGGAATTCACAGGGGAGTGAGTAGGTGGGCCCAGTGCTCAGCAGTTTTGCAGCCATTCTGGGTCCCACATACTGGTCCAGGGTTTACAGAATGGAATGCACAGAAGGCCTGGACTGGACCTGGGGAGAAATAGAATAGACAGACATGATTCTTGTTACTGCAGAGCTCCTGGGACTCTCTTTCTCTGTGAGCACCTTTGATGCTCCTCAAGAGAGAGGATGTGGTTGCATAGTCACCATCCAATGCGGAGGACCACCACGGGGTAGAATTTCTCCCCACGGTACCACGTGGAGGTGTGTCCTGCATCAGGGGCATCCCATACCTGATTGCCTTTGACTAGGGCCCAAATTCTGTTGCAGTCAGCTCTGGCAGGGTTGATATCTGTTATGGCAGATGACATGAACCACAGTGACTCAGGCAGAAAGAAATGCCTGGGGTCTCTTTCTCAGTAGGCGCCTATGGCGGACACTCAGAGCTTCCTGTCTGGTTTAGATGGGGTGGATGATGGTAGAGACGTGTGTACGGAGGCAGTAGGAGGAATCATACAACTTCCTAAGTTTTTAACTTAGGAAGACAGCTGGGTCTCAAATGGACAAGGATTCCTATGTATTTTGAGCTTATCACTAGCTTCTGCTTACATCATAATGAAAATTTTCTCTCTCCTTCTCCACTATATGAGGCAGGAAATATGGTCACAAGGCACAACCGGGGATTGTCATAACTTTCCGTATTTTATTGTGGCTGTTATTGGAGATTAGATACCAGAGAAGCTCTACTGCTCTTTCTCTCTTTCTCTCTTTCTCTCTTTCTCTCTTTCTTTCTTTCTTTCTTTCTTTTCTTTCTTTTTTTCCCTGAAGTCAAGGATTGTCTAACTAACCTGACTGGGATTATCAACAAGGAACCAATGACTATTTAGTGAGTGACTCCTTTGCATATCAGCTCCAAGATGACATCTCATGATTTCATCTTATATAGTAGCTCTGACCTATTGGAGTGGTTCCTAGAATGTTTGGGGTTGAGAAAGACTCTAAGGTTTTGGTCCTTCTCTGAAGGGAAGAATGCCAACATTAAGTACTGACAGCTCTGTGAGCCGAGGGGGGAGGGTGAACACCATGCATGTGTCAACCTTGTGTCAACCTTATACCCCTCATGTTATTCAGTAGGAACACTCTCTTCCTTACCTCCACCCCAATTCACTAAATCTAAAGCTTAGAGATTTCATTTGCTTCTTTATCTCCATTCAAATCTATGTTATCAACAAAGCTGTTTTGAAATCTCTCTCTTTTCATTTCTCCAGCCCCTAACCTTGGTCCAGGGCAGCTTTTTAGATGATCAGAGCTTTTGTCATTTAGAGGGGAGTAGTATAGTCCAGGGGAGGCCAAGTGGATGTCCAGGAAAAGCCCCACAGTTGGCAAACCTTGGGACTCTCACCATATTGAGCTTCGGTCCTCCCCCAGCCTTCCAGGTCTAAAAGCTCCATAGTGTCAGTGCCCCAGATTGGACAGAGGGAGATGATCTCTATGAATCCAAGTCCTAGGAAACTGATATAGAAAGCTACACAGCAAAAAATGTGCCAGTTCTACAGAAAACAGTAAAGTCCTTGGAGCTGCACATTTGTCCCTGGTAAGGACTCTCCAAGCAAATCAGGACACCGTCAGAAGAGGGTTTGGCGAACAGGAACCCCAACTTGGAAACTGCCTGTGCGATCCAAAGGCATTCAAGCTGTGGTGGCCCATCTCCACATGGACCACCTCCTCTCCTCTTCCCCTGGATTGTTCTGGATGAGCATTACCAGGCTCCCACCTTTGCTGGCTTTCACGCTGACGTGCCTTCAGCAGCACTGATCCCACTCGGCTACCGTAGAGCTCCTCCATTTGGTTCCATCTGAACAAGTGCCTTTTAATATGGAGCATTAATCATTATTAGCCGCACCCTTGCAGGTTGAGGGGATCCCCACTCTCATTCCAACCTAGCCCATTTGCTAGCTGCTTAGCTAGCCTCGCCACCTTTAGATTTTACTAATGCATTTGCCTAAGAAGACCTTTGACCAACGAATAGTGCCTCCCATCTGCTGGGACTCTAATGGAGAAAGCCCTTCCTCAGGGTCTCACAAAGCTTTCACAGGGGCGTGGGAGGCAGGCAGAGCATGTATTACTACCCCCATTTTACACACTAGGAGCTGAGGCCCCAAAGGCAAACTTATCCACGCTGCAGCTGCTAACCTGCCCTAGGGCCAGGACGGGGACCTGGGACAGACTCCTGACTGGGGGCCGTGTTTGCTCTGCTACCTGCATCCCTGTTTTTTTTCCGCTAGGGATGCTGAGATAACAGTTCCCAATCCCTGCTGAGAGCGCAGTGAACTTCCTCATGACAGTTTTCAGGCTGTCGCCCAGTATCTGACTCCCCGCTCCCTGTCCCCAGATTTTTCATTCTGCTCAGTCATGCGGACCCTGTTCCTGTTCCCACTTGCCTCCGCGCCTGCCCCTGCCTTGGCAGCTGCTGAGTGGAGAGAAAACGAGTTCAGAGTGTGCTTCTGGGTCCCATTTCAGGGCCCTTCCCCAAGCCGCATGGGGTATCAGTTTGGCAGGTCACCTTCTGCTGGCACTGGGCTCAGGGACCTTGGGATGGCAAAGGCGAGGGAGGCACGGCTGACTGAGAACTGAGTTTTCAATGCACGTTTGATTCTCATTTCCATTCAGGGCTCCTCATTAGGCCACAGATGTAGCACGGACCTGTTCTTCCTTTTGAGTTGGCAGCGCCCAAAGCCCCATTAGCAGTAATGCACACTGGAGGACTCCAGGGAGAGGAAGAAGGCTGAAAGGACTGGGGTTTCTAGTCCAATTTTTAAAGAAAAGAAGAGAATAAAAGCCCCATAAAACTCACAAACACTTCTTTCCTTGGCTCATTCACATGGAAATGCAAGTCTGATGATCTGGGACAAGGAGGTGATGGCCCCAGGAGCATGAGTCAGGGTGACCTCCAGGTCCTCAGCTCCAGCCCCGTGTGCACCAGCAGGGCTTAGCTCCTGAACCACCAGTGCCAAATGGAAAGCCTTGTCTTGGGACATTTGGCAGGAAGAACCACGGCTGTTCCAACAGTTAAACTAATAAGTGCTCGACCCCAAACAGCTCTTCCTGGTGCACGTACTCCCAGGCGTTGGGTACTGGGAAAATCCGCCATCAACCACAAGATGCCCCTTTGATTGCTATATTCACAATATGGAGCAGAACAAGGCAAGCTGTATGGACACCGGCAGTGGCTGTCCAAGATTCTTCTGAGGGCTGTGCACGATGGGCAGGGTGAGCTCAGGCCTGGTGCGTGACCGGGTTAATGTGGAGAAAGGATGCTGTGGGTCTTGTTTCTTGACACCTAAAGGATTAGATACTGAAATGAGAGCCATGTTTTGCAACCTAGTCTGCGAAGGACAGACATAGAAAGAGCAACCCCACCTTTGTTATGATCACTCTGCTTGTTACGTAACCTGTCGGCACACCTGCCCTGCGCACAGCATCACGGATGATGCATAGGGAAATGCCAGCCCTGGTTCCAGGCACAACCTTCTCCTTCATCCACTGCATTCCCATCCCATCCGCATACCACCCAGGGAGGCAGGCAGGGAGGTGGTAAACTTCCCATCCTGCAAATGAGGAAACTGAATCTGCATGCAGATGATTTGCCTATCTATGGTCAGCAGAGTTAAGGCTCACACCCAGGACTTCTGACCAACTCCACTACCCATTTTTTTTCCCCAAGAATTTACCTTCTGGAAAGATCTCAAGCTAACCAACATGGCTAGGATTGGGAAGGGACATCACATTTGGGACTATGAATGACTCTCAGTTTGAAGATAAGTTTCATGACATCTGGACTTCTCAAAGAACCACCAGTTACCAGGCTTTCTGTAAGAGACCTAAGCTGAGGCTCTCGTCTTGAGGGGCAGCTAACGTTAACATCATTGGAACACACACATAGTGTCTTCAGCTTGCGAGATTGACTCCCACAGGGTCCCATGTGCTGCCTTCCAGCTGGAGTGCAGGCTTCACACGGTCCCTTGCCACTGATTTCATCCTCCTTCCACAGCTGCTGACTGCTTTCTTTTTTTCCCTGGGTTTATAGCCCTTCTTGCTACCTTCTCCACTCTGCTGTTGGAAGATGTTTGTTGATGGAGGCCAGAACATTTTACATCAGCACCTTGTGTCTAGTAGAGGAAAGAAAATAGACAAGGGAGCTGCAGCCCCCTGCCCTCCATCTGTGCTACCTGCAGACCTGAGCAGCAGCCGCCTGCACTTGCCTCCTCTGCCCTGAGTCTGCATTCCATTCCCAGCACAGGTCCTGCCCAGGCCCTGCCCTCCACAGCACTCTTTCCTACAGTGCCTGGCGCCTGTGTTCTGAGATAAAGCAAGCCCTGTGCTCCGTACTCTGCCAAGCGCCTGCTTATCTCTAGGCAAGGCAAATACCACTGAAATGTTTCAAAGTACCCCTAACGAAACTCCAATGCAGTCCAGGTCACCTGGCTAATTGTTTTGAGCATCAGTCCTGGCATTGACAAGCCCTTGAAGGAGGTCAGCAACTTCAATGAGGATAAATATCAGCGTGTTCTTTTGCAATGAACAGGTAAAACTGATCTGTAAGAGTATAAATTCCACCAGGCTAGGGATTTTCATCTGCTTTGCTCTCTGATGTATCCCTTAGATACACCTGAAATGCTACCAGAACAGTGCCCAAATGAGTGCCAGGGACATAGTAGGTGCTCTGTAAATGAATCTTAATTTTTTTGTGATTTATTTAAATTTTATGACATATATCTAAGGTGTACAATGTGATGTTTTGATATATAATAGTGAAATGGTTACTACAGTCAAGGAAGTTAACATATCCACCATCTCACATAGTTATTCATTTTTTGTGTGTGAAGCAGAGCACTTAAAACCTATTCTTTTAGCAAAAATCCCAAATATAATACAATATTATTTACTTTAGTTCCTGTGTTGTACATTAGACCTCTAGACTGTTCATCCTATGTATCCGCTACTTTGTATTTTTTGACCTATATCTCCCCATTTCCTTCCTCCCCTACCCCAGCCCTGGTAATCACTATTTTATTCTCTATCTCTGTGTATTTAGCTTTTTTCTTTTTTAGATTTAATACATAAGTAAGTGAGATCATGTAGTATTTTTCTTTCTGTGTCTGGCTTATCTGGCTTAGCACAATGTCCCTTAGGTTCATCCATGTCATCACAAATGGTAGGATCTTCTTTTTTAAGGCTGAATAATATTTCATTGCATATATATACTACAGTTTCTTTATCAATTCATCCATCAATGGACACTTTGGTTGTTTCCATATCTTGGCTATTGTGAATAATGCTACAATGAACATGGCGGTGCAGGTATTTTACAAGGTGGTGATTTCATTTCCTTTGGGTAGATACCCGAAAAAAAGGATTGCTAGGTCATCTGATAGTTCTATTTTTAATTTCTTTAGGAATCTCCATACTATTTTCCACAGTGGATACACCAGTCTACATTACCACCAATCATGTTTTAGGTTCATTTTTCTCCACAGAGTCACCAATATTTGTTATCTTTTGTCTTTTTGATAATAGTTATTCTAACAGTTGTGAGGTGATATCTCATTGTGGTTTTGATTTGTATTTCCCTGTTGATTAGTGATGTTGAGCACTTTTTCATATGCCTGCTGGTCATTTTTATGTCCTCTTTGCAGAAATGTATATTCAGGTCCTTTGTCCAATTTTTAATCTAGATAATTATTTCTCTGCTATTGAGTTGTGTGAGTTCTTTATGTATTTCGACTATTAATCCTTCATTAGTTATATAGTTTGCAGATATTTTCTCCCAATTCATAGGTTGCCCTTTCATTTTGTTTTTTTCTTCCTTTGCTGTATGGGAGCTTTTTAGTTTGATACAGTCCCATTTATTTATTTTTGCTTTTGTACCCTGAGCTTTTGGTGTGATATCCAAAAAAATCATTGCCAAGGCCAGTGTCAAGGAGTTCTTCCTCTGTGTTTTTGGAGTTTTATGGTTTCATGTCTTATGTTTGGGTCTTTTATCCATTTTGAGTTGATTTTTGTGTATGTGTAAGATAAGGTCCACTTTCCTTCAGTTGCATGTAGAAATCCAGTTTTCCCAGTGTCATTTGATAGAAGAGACTAATCTTTCTCCATTGTGTCTTCTTTGTGCCCTGTCGAAAGTTAGTTGACCATATGTGTTTAGGTTTATCTCTGGGTTCTCTACTCTATTCCATTGGTCTATGTGCTTGATTTTATGCCAGTACTATTTTGATTACTATAATAAATTCAATAAAAATTACTATAATAAATTAATTCACAGTATAATTTTAAATAAAGTGGTGTGATGCCCCCAACTTTGTTTTTCTTTCTCAGAATTGCTTTGGTTATTCAGGGTCTTTCATAGCTTTATATGAATTTTAGAAATGTTTTTTCTATTTCTATGAAAAATGTCATTGGAATTTTGATAGGGATTGCATTGAATCTGTGCATTCCTTTGGGTATTATGGAAATTTTAACAATATTAAGTCTTCCAATCTATGAATGAAGGTTATCTTTTCATTTATTTGTGTCTCCTTCAATTTCTTTCATCAATGTTTTATAGTGTTCTGTGGACAGATATTTTACAGGCTTGGGTAAATTTATTCCTAAGTATTTCATTTATTTATTTATTGATGATGAATTGATTTCTTGATTTTTTTTTTTTAGATAGGTCATTATTTGTGTACAGAAACACAACTGATTTTTGTATGTTGATTTTGTATTTCTCAGATTTACTCAATTCATTTATTAGTTCTAATAGTTTTTTTTCTGGAGCCTGGTATTTTCTACATAAAGGATCATATATTCTGCAAATAGAGATAATTTTACTTCTTTCTTTCTGACTTGTATGGCTTTTGTTTCTTTTTCTTGCCTAATTGCTCTGACTAGTGCTTCCACTACTATGTTGAATAAAAATAGTGTGAGTGGGTATCCTTGCCTTATACCGGATCTTAGAGGTAAAGCTTTCAGTTTTTCCCCATTGATTATTATGTTAGCTGTGAGTTTTTCATAAATGGTCTTTATTTGGGTATCAGAACAGTACCTAAATGAGTGTTAGGGGCATAGTAGGTACTCAATAAATAATTCTTTTTAAAAAATTGAGTTAAAGTTTCCTTCTAGTGAAACGTACAGATCCTACCTGTATTGCAGAAGGCTTTGAGTGCCACATGAAGGCATCTGGACTTTACCTGGAAGCCAATAGAGAAGCACTGGATGCCCTTAAGCAGGGGATGGCATTAGCAGAATTAACCACCTTCCCTACTTTTCCACAGTGATTAATTAGCTTGACCATTTCACACCACTTGTTTCTATTTGCCTTGTGTTGCTGAGGTTTATACACATACCTCTCCTCCATCCAGCCTGCAAGGTAAGTCTTGTAAGTATCTTACTGATTTCCAAGATCTCCAAGTGGCTGTCAGCAGGCATGTATACAGCAGGCACACCTGTTTGTGGGACTCTGATATATAGGATGAACCATGAATTCGTAAAGACTATTATCACCCCTGGATCTGCTAGGCTGAAATTTAAAAAGGATGTTAGTTTTCATTGGGGCATAAATCCCATTGAAATGAATCTGAAGGAGAAGTTCTGAATTCTAAAATTAAAGAAGGAAAAATCACACAAAACTAAGAACCCTAGGTTGTTCTTGTCCTATTCTTATCTACCTCCCACCCAGAATCCCATGAGGTATATCTTGGACTGTTCTACAGTGAAACCTGGTTGCTTTTCTGAAGCTATCCAGAATTTCCATCTAGCGAACAGATGGCATTGTTTTCATATAAAGAGCAAAAGAATTTCATGTATTCAAACAATGAAAACTTAAGAAAACACACAGAGCATGGGTAGTCATTATAATGGGAAAAAGAACATGATATGTCAACAGAGAGCTAGACTCTGTAAAAAGCAGGAATCCAATTGGCTCCCTGGCTAGTACTCTGGACTCTGCAGATTGAGGGTGTGTACGCACGGGTGTAGCACCCCAACAGGTGCTAGCCCTGGCTCAGGCTTCATCTACGGGCACACCTGAATATATAAAGTCCCTATTATGGGCTTGGCCCTGAGAATACAGGCATGAAAAGTTCAGTCCCTGCCTTCAGGGGCTTGCAGAGTGGTGGTGGAGGCAGATTCATAGAAGAACAGACAAGAAATTAGAACAAAGAGGAGTGGCCTCTAACCCAGGCTGGAGGGATCTTGGGAAAGTGATGGTTGAGCTGAGGGTTATGAAGTACCTGGGAGCTGGCCAGGAGAGATGTGGTAATGAGATAAAGTAAAAACAAGATGAAGGGCATTCCAGGGACAGAGTGACGGCATGGGCATGGAGGCCCAGGAGTAAGGTGAGTGCAGGGAGATCACACTAGCAGTCAAGCATGGTGGATAGGGCAGGAAGCAGCAAAAGATGAGGTCAGAGATGCAAGCTAGGGGTTAGAAAAATATCTGAATATAGAGAAACATCTGAGTACAACATTATACAACTTCATGCATATCATTTGCAAAACAAGGTGTATCCTTTCACTAAACCTGTTCATAAGATTGAGAGTGTGGGTAACCAAACCACACTGCCAAAGTCAACAGTTTGCATACAGGAAGAATTATTGATTTATTCATTCAGTCTAAACACATATATAGAGCATGTGCTAATTGCCAGACACTATAAGCCCCATGATGAGTTCTATATTCCTAACAAAATGACCAGCACTTAGCACTCTGTCCAAGGTGAGCCCTCCATAGATTATTATTGCATGAATCAGTGAATGATCAATTCAGGCGCCTGTCCAAGAAGCTTACAGTCTAGTGGGAGAATCAGAGAGGTAAGCAGATTATTATATATCAAATGATTACACTTAGGATGGGACAGGGAATTCAGCCTAGAAATGTCTCCAAGAGCCAGGCAAGTAGAGTAAGTAAATGAAGAGATCTCCAGATGTAAGACAATGTAGGGGTACTCAAACTTTTAAAACAGGGGGGCCAGTTCACTGTCCCTCAGACCGTTGGAGAGTGTGCACTGTGGGCCCAGGATGAGTCGTCTGCTAAGCAGGACAGGCAGTGGTGGCAAAAACACCCGGAGGGCTGGATAAATGTGCTAGGTGACTGGCATGTGGCCTGCAGGCCGTAGTTTGAGGACACCTGCTGAATAGGGAATAGTGGGGACTATATGCGTGGAGAGTACATGCCCATTCTGAAGGGGAACAGTCGCTATTCGACTCTAGGCCGATTAGGATCAAAAGAAGCTGGGAATCTGTGTTCTTAATCAAGTGAGACGTTACTAAGTTGGTTGTACCCACCTGTCCCGGATTCCAGCATAATCAGCCTGGCACCTCCAGGGAGGAGACGGCCTAACAGAGGCATTGGTGAGTGAGAGAGGCCTGAGAAGCTTCCTTTCTGGATGGGCATGGTGTGGGGCTGTGACCTTCGTGACAAGAGGTGGACACCACAGCCCGCACAGCCAAGGGGACAAACAACATCAGGTGCTGCCAGCAACCCATCGGGCTCCTGTGCACCGGGTGAGGACCTACTTCAGGTCAGTCTCTGGCCTTCTTAGCCCTGGGCCATGCCCCGGGGCAGCTCCGCCCCCAGACTGCCTCGGGACCTGTGTGGTCCCCTCGCTAATTCCCTGGCCGTAAGGATCTGTTTGGGGCTGTTTGTTCTGCAGAAGGAAACAGAAGGCTGCAGTGTGTCGGAATCCTGCCCCCCCTCCTGCACCGCTGCCTCCCCCACAACATGAAAGCTGCTGAGCAAACAGAGAAATCAAAGATGATTATACGCTGCTGGAAACCCGCGTGCTTCCGCCTGGCTGCGTCTCCCTGCCAAACTGTTATGCAAGCCACAGCCCCACTCAGGCCTGGAACCGAACAGAGATGCCACTGAAGGCCCTTCTATGACCTGCTCATCACCTGCAGCCTTTCTCACACCCTCTCTTACCTGGCGTGGACCTGCCCCAGGTGGGGCCATGCACACTCTCGGTGGCTGACAACTCACCTTTCCGTTTGTTTGGGGACTTCCCTCTATCCATTCCCACCCAGCACAAACGTATGGGTGGGTCGGGACCAGGAGTTTACTTTGGTCAGATTCCAAGTGACTAAGACATTTTGTACTAGAAAACTCCATTTGATAATCTGGGGGAGCTGGATGTTTTTCACTCTCCTAAGTGAATAATTCACTTTGGTAGTTCAGACACCAGAGCTGAACAAGTAGCTGCTGGGGCCCGAAATGACCTCCCGGCCAGAAAGGGCCTGACCACACTGCTCCGATGACCAATGCTTATTTCTATTTATGGATTCTTGGCATGTCCCTCAGTCTTAAACCACCTAAATGGACTTACAAGAGCTTTTCCTTTGGTGTGTCAGTGACTTGAGTGAATGAGCTGAATTCTCGGGTTTTTTCTTTCTGCATCACAGGGCTGGGAATACTCAGTGGCTCATACAGCAAGTGCACTAGAGGCTTTACATGCTAATAGTGGCTTTTTGGCTCAGCTATAATTATATCTGAAATAAGGTTTCAGGAGATTTAGCGTTGATGATGTTCAGGTGTTCATATATTCATATCTATTCAACACGGAGCTTTCATTACTCTCCCTTTTCCAGCCTTAACTAATCACATGCTGGTGTGAAGCGCTCAGATCTCAAGTAGAAGAATGAACTTTGGAATCAGATAAAACCCATACTGGAGCAATAGCTTGGTGTTTCAGAGCCTGTGTGACCTTGTGCTGTCACCTAAACCTTGCTAAGTCCCTGGAACCTCCTGATTTCCCTTAATTTTCCTACATTATTTCAGAAAAGCACAGGGCCCTAAGGGAGGTGAATCTAGCATTGGAGAATGGCCAGACATCTCCATCTCTCACTTGCTCTACCAGGGAACAGCTGAGTGGGAAACCCTTTGCTGTTTGGTGAGATTGCTGCAGGAGCGAGCAGTTGGACTGAAATCTTGGGGCTCAGTCCCCTCTCTGGACCTCATCTCCTTACCATTAATGGTGGAGGGGACCCCTTCCAAGCCCAGACACCTGGGTTGCTGTTCAACTCCTTCTCACCCTGGATCACCAAAGTGTCAGATCTAGTCATTGAGTCAGATATCTCCACCTGGGAAAATGGCCAGCACCTTCATTTTCCTTGCACAGACATTTTGAAAAAACTCAAACCAAGGAATTGCCTTTTCTAGATTCCAGTCTGTACCAGGACTTGTAGGTCTCTGAATCCGGATAAGAGAAGGAATTTATAGGAGTACCCTGTAAGCACATGGCAGAGAAACAGAACAAACTCTAAATATTCTAAGAACCATTTTTATCAAGTATTGCATTGTCACCATGCTATGAGAGTCATAAGCCAACTTCCCATTGTCTGCATCTAAATAGGGTGTTGATGATGTTCAGGAGTTGATATATTTGTACCTATTCAACCTCAGATCCTAACTCCTTCTTCAAGGAAGCTCTGCTTCCCACCATGCTTCAAGACCTTTGGCTGGGAATTGAAATGTGAGTTTGAATTAGGTAAAGCTTGGGTTCTTTCATTCTACTCAACGCTTCCTGGTCTAGAGGGATAAAAATCCCTGCTCCTGACATATAGGGGCCTCTGGAGCCCTCATCCAGCCCTTATGGCTCTCTGGATAATCATTAAATTTCTGTTGACCAGTCTTCCTACATTTTTGTCTTTAAAAAAAGTGATACAGATGTTGTTGGCACAGGACTCTGAGAATAAAAGCCTTTTTGAGCAGCTTGCTCTCCTTACCTGCTGAGGGCTGCTGGCCTCCTTCCTGGCAATACCTCCTCGGACAAGGAGTCTCCCTCCTTAGACCCTCAGATCTCCACCTGGAGAAAGGGGATGAAAGTAAAATGAAGTTGAATTATCATGACTACAGGAAGTGGTTTCTTCATTAAATATGTTCTTCTTAATCTGGGTGGTAGGAAGCTGGGACGGGCAGCTAACAGGGAAAAGCAGCCCAGCTAAGACATGGAGGCCACATCAACCACGCTGCCCTTCCACTAGGGCGCAACTAGAATGGGATGTTTAGCACCAGAGAACATGTTCGTATGCCTGAGAACGAGCAGAGTGAGAAGACTGGCCAGACTCAGCCTGAGCCCATGAGAACAGCCCCTCCGAAACCTTTTCTTTAACCCCAGGCATGACGACCATCATTCAACAACTCTCAGGATGGACAGAGGGACCTGAGTCAGGAACATATGGTTCGAATGGCTACAATCCCCAAAGATACTGATAACAAAGTTAAAAAGTATGTGACACATTTTTGTCAATCATGCTTTGTCTATAAAATTAAAAAAAAAAATCAGGAATCACTGATATAACATATCTTAAGATTTAGATCACAAACATTCCAGTATACAGTTTTGGAACTTCTGCACTAAACTTTAATCATTAATAATTACTGTTCAGTTTAATCTAGTATGTATATAGTAAATCAATTGTTTTTGGAATTTTCTAAGAATAAATTCTTGGCTTTGAAGAACAAGTTTTTTTTAAAAAAAGAAAGCTTTGTTTTTTACAAAAGCTTCAAATTTATAGAAAAATTGAGAAGATAGTACAGAGTTTCTATGTACCTCTCACTCAGTCTCCCCTCTGGATAACATCTTGTGTGAGTATGGAACATTTGTTATAATTAATGAATCGATATTGATACACTGTTATTAACTAAAGCGCATACTTTAGAGAACGGGGATTTTACAGAAAATTGGCATTAAAATTCCTCAGAGGCATCTTAACCCTTTGCACTCGCTTGCTTTTTTCTCATTATCCACTTGACATTATCCACACTCGACATCCGTGTGCAAAGGGTTAGCTCAGGCTTTCACATGGCAGAGAGAAGGCCTTTGCTGACTCTCATCTCCCCTGTCACCTTCTGGAATGTTCACTGCTTTCCTGGGTTCTTTCTGCAAGGGGACAAAAATGTTTTCTAAAAACTTGGTTGTCCATTGTGAAACAACCCCCATACATCTTTAAGTATTCTCAAAAACATTTTATCATAGTAGGGAAATAAATTAGCTAAGAATCTAGATTTTGGAATCAAATAGATTGGATCCCAGTTCTATCATTAATAAACTGTTACTTTATCCAGCCTCATCTTTCTCATCTGTAAAATGGAGATAATCTAGTAATAACATACATATAAACAATAATATGATTTGCTGTCAGTATTGAGTAAGCACTCAGCACTGCGCCAGACACGTAATAGCAATTCAATGCTGGCAGCTCCCGTTAAGGTTAAAAGGTGAGGCTTTCTTGAGAAGTAACTGTGGTCAACAAATTAGTCAATGAGTAATCTAAATCAGTTTGGTGAAAAATACCTTTTTCAACGAAGATCAGCTTCAAAGGTCAGTCAAGAGAAGAGAAGTCGTAAAAGCATAAACTTAATTGCCTGAGGAATTCTCTTGAAATTGGAAAGAACAAGGCAATTATGGGGACTACTGATGTGAAAACATGAGAGGAGCCACCCACGGGCTTTTTTCCTACTTTACCATTCTGCTTGAAGGACTAAAATATCAGTACATGTTTGGAGCAGCAGCGATCTCTGCTGCAGGCATTGCTAAGGGAGAAATGACAGTTGCAGGGAGAATCAGGAGTCACGTGGAGCTCCGGCTCCTGCCTTCCTAGTCCCCGTCTCCACCTCCCCACGCCTTCCAGTGCTCCAGCCCTGTGGACCTGCTGCAATGCGTCCGTCCCACACACAGGCTTCCCAGGCCCGCCAGGCCCCTGCATGCTCCACTCCTTCTGCCCGGGTGCACCGCCACACCTTCCCCTAGCGAACACAGCCATCAGGACTCAGCTCGGGTGTCATGTCCCTGGAAAGCCTTCCCCAACCACTGCCATTGCGGTGGGCACATGCTCCCATGGGCTCCGGCTCCATCCTCAGGCATTGCACCCACTTCATCACGTCCCTGCCTCACTCCGCTGTGAATACCCTAGGTACTCAAGTCAAGCACGGCACCCACCCATGGTAGGACAAGTGCTCAAAAAGTATCGCCTGGTGCCTAGTCTCTGATCATCTGCAAGCCCAGGGGCTTTTGATTCTTCTCTCAAACCCTGAAGCGGAAGCAATTAGGGGAGGCACATAGATTTGGTGAAAGTTGCAAATCTGCACCTGAAGCAGAAAGGAGAAAACTCGAAAGGTTTGTCTTTAAAAAATATAATTAAAGCCAGTGTAGGATTAGACAATAACAGATAAAATGTTTGGGGTGGTGGTTTCCAGGCCCCAGTGCATGAAACTATGTTGGCCTGTCATGAAGTTTTCCCAGGTAATGAGGATCTTTCTAAAAAACTCCCACCTGTCCCGTGAGGGTACTGAGTGCTGGCGGCAGGATCTCCCAGCTAAGAATGGCCTCAGATCGGGCGTGCCCTGCAGCCTGGGTCCTTCAACTCTCCCTGGACAGACACTTGGCCCCTGCCCACCTTCCTAAAAACCGTGACCCTTGTGATTGGTACAGCTGAGGAAACGAAAGTAATGTAACTTCTTCAAGGTCACACAGCTAGCCAGTACTGAAATGAGGACCCAGGCCCATCTGTCTGATTCCAAGGCGTCCCACCACTGTGTTCTTCAGCAGCTGGCACCTGCTCACACTGGAGGCTTGGTTCCCAGAAGGACAGAGTCTCCCGGGGTGAGGCTGAGCTGCAAGCCCAGGTCTGTGTTCCATGTGCATGTATTCCCAGACTGCATCATCAGTGCCCGTTCTCACCCAGGAAGCATTTATGCCACCTGCTTCTTCCTGATCTGTGAGTCCCTCCGGTACCGGGTAGGAAGGCAGGTTTCCAGGGTGGATAAAGAGGGATCTTTATGCTTTATAATACTATAACCCACCCCACAGCAGGATCTACTGTGCACCTGAGGGTTGCAGTAGAAGTCCCACAGGTAAGATGAGTACCATGGGTCAATAGCTCCACAATGGACACCAAAAGTCTCTTTAAATGGATAGGTTGGATAAGAGCTTCGTATCTCTTTAAATAGATAAGTAGGTCTTTGCTGGGGTTTGGGAATTGTTTTTAATATATGAGGTTCTTTGATAAAATTTTGGTAGTTTCTTGGCATGAAATTCAGTCTTATATAAAACCCATTATCCTAAGTGAAGTGTCTCAGGAATGGAAAAACAAATACCCCATGTTCTCACTTGTAAGTGGGAGCTAAATGAAGATATGATCATATATGGTCATAAAGTGGTATAATGGACACTGAAAACCAAGAAGGGGGATGGGAAGGAGATGAGGGATGAGAATCTACCTATTGGGTCTGATGTACACTATTCTGGTGAGGGGTACACTAAAAGCCCTGACTTTGGCATTACGCGATCCATCCATGTAACAAACAGCACTTGTGTTGAAATAAAAAAAATAGATAAATACATAAATACAACAGAACACCCACTATAGGACACGCATAAGTGGTTAAAGTTTTAGCATTTCACACTTTATCGGTCACGCTGCACTGTCTCTGCACCTAAACTCCCGTGCTAGGAGCCCCTGGGCCAGCAGCTCAGTGTCGCTGGGTGTGACTCCACACAGCCCTGAGCAGCGGCCCATGCTGTCCCCGGGCTGAAGAGCCCCCGGGGGCAGGTGAGCCAGCTGGCGGTGCCGAGGAAGGTGCTCCCCGAGCCCGCTGAACACCTGTGCTAGGGGAAGCCGTCCTTTCTCCCTGTGACCACCTTGACTGACCACATTCTTGCCCTTCAACGTGGCGAGCTGGCTCAGCGGTCAAGCACGAGCCGATTCAGAAATGAAAACCCATTGAGCAGTGGCAGAAACAGAAGCAGAAGGCAGACCCAAACGCGTTCTCTGGCTTCTGCCATCTTAGACCCAGCGCGAGGGTAGCCCTGCCATTCCCTCCCTGGGAGGTCACTCTGCGGCTTTGGCACAAGACGACAATCTGGGGGAGAGAGCAAAGTCTGTGGCTATGGTTGCCTTTTCTCCTCTAAGCCAACTAGTGCCTTGTTTTTCTGCGAGCCTGCCACTGTGGGAAAATTGCTAGAGTGTAAAGTTTCCCTCTTTGTCCCCGCGCACTTCATTTACCAGCGAGCCAAGCTGGGAACAGAGCCGCCTCTCACAGCTCATGAATGACTCCGTTTTCTCAGGGCAGCCTCTGCCTGCCCATTGTCTAGCTGTCACGGCCTCTTGTGTAGGTGTTCCCTGCAGCCCGGCTGTTATGTAACGCCGGGCAGGGAACGCTGCGTGAGGGCAAGAGAGATCAGGGAGAGGAAAAACCCGGACGGTAACCAAGACCCATGTCTTCCTGGAGCAGGAGGAAACAACGCTAGCCACTTGTCAGCTCTTTTCCCCTGGCTTGTTCGCCGGAGTGATAAAGTTTGGTTGCTGGCATACAGAGCCCCACGGCTGGCTCAAGTGAGTGCTTCTGTTTATATCCGTGAGACAGGACATGCTGTACCCTCACCCCGGTGCCGCTGCCACCGACGGCCTCCCACGAGACTCTGACAGGAAATCCTCCCCCTCTCATATGGCCTAGGAGGAAGGGACCTCTCCCCTCCTCAGGCTCCACTTTCTATTCCTCCCCTTCCTACTACATCATTGACCCAAGTGAGCCTCTCAGTCCTGCTTGGAGAAGCACACACCTTCCCTGGGCTTGTGTGGCCCTCCCAGGTTCCCTTGACTCTTCCTCAAGTTCAGGGTCAAGAGGTGGCTGTCACTTGGCATCCACGAATGGAGCACTTATCCTCACACTCGTATTGCCTGGATGCCACTTTCTGGGATTAAGTGTCTTCCATCATCCATTTTGGCCATGCTATGAATACTGTGGTGCAAGGAAGACAGGTTCTTGTCATTCTTTCTCTGCCGGCGTCTCCCCCAGGCCTGT